AAGCATTGTAATGTTTACTGATAATCTGCCAAATTTCATTAACATTGGGTTACTAACTTAAAAGTTATAGCATGAAAACTATAACAACCATAAAATGATTACGATGTCGGTCCCAGGGACTGAGCCTGTGCTGAAAGAGTTAAATTGTTTATAGGAACTGTTAAATTAGCATTATGAAAGATTTTAAGGTTACCACCACTGTTAACTGTAATAGTAACTAAAATTATACTTAGTTAACTGTAACAGTAAAAGTACTTTAATAACTAAAAGTACAAATACATAACTATAACTAAAAAAATCATAACTAAACAATACTGGTTTCAGTACAAAGAAACTCACAATTCACTGGGATAAAAGAATAAATGAACATGGAAAAAGCTATCAGAAATGAATCATTTATTTAAAAGTTTTACTTTCATATACAATAGGTATGGTTCAAATATCTTATACTAATGAGATAAGTGACTATATACTATCTGCTTTTCCTCTAAAAGCAGTGAATGGCCTTTTATCCTACAAAAGTACTTTTAATAGTTATACAACCTACTGAATGTTACAAAACTTCTTACACTTCATGTACATATAATGCGAAAGATTTCAACAAATACATTGTTTGAAGTCTTTGAAGTTTCAGAAGTATCATTATTCTAATTATGGTCAACCACTTGCATTTTATTTGAATGCAATAAGAACTAAATGATTGTTGAACACTAGATACTATAAAATATGAATTAAACTTTGGAACAGCTCCTAAACTTAAATAATACTCACTCATATGCTTCTTCTAAATCTTGGTGAATTTGCTTTAGGAAAAAAGCTTTTCCTAAGGAAATAACTGGTCTACTCTTTTCCACAATGGCTTCAACAATTTTTTCAGTCTGATGAATGAAGTTGAATTGCAAAGAGATTAAAAATATAAACATAATCAAGAGGACCATAAAATCTATTTGATATATTACAGATAGAAGATCAATTTAATATTAGAGAACATACTTGGATAAATGTAAAGTTGATGAAGTTTTTTGTAACCCTGTAAACTTCTTAAAGCTAACCATTATTAATCACATTTAAAATATTCTCCAATTTAGACAGTATATATTATACACTTTTGGTACAAATGAAAATGTTTTCCAACTTTATATTTACATATATATCTATTACAAATTCTCCACATGCAGCTTTTAGATACATCACTTTTTTTGCAAATCCTCATTTTTACAACATATTTTAAGTTATTTGAGACCGGGCAATTTGCATTCCAGGAAGCAGGAAAAATTAGGCAATTAGATAGAATACTAGAAATTTTGTATTTCATTGATGTATTGTATATTTTACCAAATAAAGGCCCTACAAACTATGTATCATTAAATTCAATGTAAAAAACCCTTATCAAAGTATGCCCATTTGGTCTCTGGGGATAGAGGGCTTACAGAGTATTCCCCTTTGGTAGGCAAAGAGCTAATGATGTTAATGATAATAACTGTGCATTCATATATTAATTAGTCAGGAAAAGGAAAGTTAACATTTTCCTTACCTGAAAATGTGTTTCTGATAGATACTCACCTCTACACACAATTAAGCTATCTTCCCCATGCATATGCCTTAGATATTTGCATGTCACTAGTCTTTAGGCAACATCCATCTTATCTCATGAATTGTGCTATATCATATTGATGTTATTATGCAGCAAAAGCCCTCTACCATCAGGAGGGTGACACACCTCCTTGTGCACTAACCCCCTCTATGCTTTTGCAATCATGAATCTTTTTTCTTTGATGAGGCAAGGAATACTAAAGTGCACTGAAAGTTGGAAGAAAGGGGGAAAATATGTGTTAAGAGGCAGGTTTCTATCGAAAATACATTTTTAGGTAAGAAAAATATTAACTTCCAAGGTGATACATACCTCTGCATACAAGTAAGCTAGAATCTCCTAATGAAGTGGTGGAGGGACTGGTGCAAAGATTTACTTAGATGAGTTCCCTTCAGAAAATGTCTGAAGGAGACCCATAGAGTGTGACATCTGATAGCAGGGGCTTCATAGGGGTACACCTGTAGAAGATCACATCTCATCTCTTACAGGATATATTTTTCACCCAGGAAGAAGGAAGGAAGAGGCAAATGAGCCTCATGTGTCATAGGGATGGGCAGATTAAGAACATGGCCATCTTAGTACTTGCACACAAGAGGTCAGAGAGCCAATATGTGTAGTGCAGTTGGGGCACATTCAGACTGTACCCTGTGCTAACCTCAACTCTACCATCAACTACTGGACCAACACCTGCTGTAGGAGAAGGGCAGAGAATTCATACCATAGATGGGATTGGAAGGAGGAAGGGAAACATTATGAGGGCTGTGGGGAGAAAGGGAAGTAAATTGAAGAGAAAGTTCATGGGAAAAAGTATAATTAACCCCACGTGGATGGAAAAGTGTGACCACAGGAGCTCAAACCATGACAACTGGGCACCCAAAAGACTCAATTTGACTTAATTATTACCAAGAATTTGATGAGGCTTATACCAGTAGAAGAGGAAAATTGGGAAGTGAGAATTGAAAGATGGGAAACTGGGGATTAAGATGAGATACAATGGTGAAAGGTTGGGTTTCGAACAGTGTGGAATCAAAGGAAGAAAGCAAGGGATGATGATGGGTAGCCTTGACCTGTGATTCAATCAAATTCGGAATACTTCCAAAACGTTAGGGCAAAGAAAGGGGGGCCAGGCGAAAATCTCATAGAAGGGGAAAAAAAAAGTTGAACTTGGGATAGGAGAGTATCCCCAACCAACAATCCCAGCAACAAAGAGGTGAATAAGCAGGAAAGTGGAACAGGCAGAGGAGGGCAGAGTATTTGTGGAAAAGTAATTGGTCAAGAAAAGAGTACACAAAACTAGTTAGGATTAAGATTAAAAAGTAGGGAACAAGAAGATTAATAAAACACAGCAGAAAGAGAAAGAATGGTGCATACCTGTGAAATTAAGTACTTATAATGCAAGCAAGTTTAAGGTTTTTCATCAACAGAGAGAGAGAAGTTCTCAAAGTATAACAAGGAAAACAAAACAATCAAACTTGTTCTCCTCATTCTTCCTTCAAAATGAGGGGAAGGATTACCCAAAGAAGGGACTGGAGCTGAAGGAGCTAGCTGCATAAAGAAACTCACTACCCTATGTGCAATGGCCATTGCATTATCCCTAGTAAATGTGCCTCCATTAGCCATAGTTATTACATAACCTGTGTGAGGAAATTGTTCACTCACACAAGTAGTAGAAGCTGTTACATGAACTAGTGTATTCATAGTTTGCAGAAAAAAAAAGAGTGCTGAGGAAAAGAATGAAGATTCATGAGTGCAAAAGCATAGAGGGAGTTTGTGCATAAGGTGTGTTGCCCTACTATTGGTGGAAGGTTTTCCCTGTATAACAACTCAATAAAAATCTCATAAGGTTAGGTAGGAGTTGCCTAAAAGCTAGTGGCATGCAAATCTCTAAGGCAGAAGCATATGTATGGATAGAAATAATGAAATAAAATTACATTCTCTCATGGGAAAGCTATCACTAAGACTACATTGTCTCATGTAAAGTTGCATTTCCTCACAAATTGTTTTTTTATTTAATTCCTGCAATATGTTCACTTTCATTGGTCGTAACTAAAAGAACACGGATGGACTTATGCATTCCAGGTTGGGAAAGCAATTAAAAAAATGAAATTGCTCAAGCAAAGTTACATTCCTCAGGAAAGTGGGAACGTAATAGTTTAATCCCTGATAGGGAAGATAGCTTAATTGTGTGAAGAGGTGTGTATCATCTTAGAATTACTTAATGTCGGTTTTTCATTTCACTAACCTCTTCTTCAAGGAGGTCATCAGGTACAACTTTGCTCACTAAACCACTCATTAGAGCATCTAAAAAATATATAAATATCAAATTATAAAATAGTAGAGAAAGATGTGTAAAGCAAACAGATCCTCTTTTATTCCTATTCAATTGGTTTTATAACCACTTTCCAAAATCAAAACTAAACAGTGAATTCTTATGTACTAATATTTAATAGCATATCTCAATTATTTTTCTTACTGTAAAAACCTACAAGTTCCTATGTGCCATTCATTTTAAAGCTGAAATCCTTTTTCCTAATAACTCACAGTAAGCAAGAATTAGGCATGTCTTTTAGTAGTTATGGGCACTTTTGGGGCATAAGAGCAGAAAGGTATGTGCATGTGCAACCTCTAGGAGCTGCTAGTAAGATGTGCTAGTAATGTAACAAACCTGCTTAACAAAACTTAAAAGTGAGAGTAATGAAATTTAGTTTTCTCTTATTTAGGTCTATATGTAACTGAAAAATGTTCATAATTTTTTACTGTGAGTGTGATTTATAAATGATACAGCTTTCTAAAGGTGGGCTGAAATTTTAAAATTTTACCCAGCCTGGTGGTTATCTGCTCTAAGTCCAACAGTTAGTTACAGTATGTTGCCTGGAGTTACTCAATACCAGATTATCTTCATACTAAATCCGACTTAGGTTCGAAGCTTAAATTAAATATTGCTCACAAGACTGGCTTGTTTTTATATTCCAACACACCAAGATAGAAAAGGAAAAGGTAATAATATAAAGAATAATAATTCTAATGTGTATCTTTCAACATCATGGTTGCTATTTAATATGATAATTTTAACAATTTATACAAAAGAGGTGTGAAACAGTATTTGTAGGATTACAAAATAACTTGAAACAATGCCGTTGAAACCAAACATACAAAGTGTGAAACTGCCAAATAAGTATTGTTTGGCCACAGCTATGGGTAGAGGTTATCATTTTTTGAAGAAATAAGTCTGAAAATATTTTTTTAAGCAAAGTTGAAAAAGCTGAAAAATAGGGCAAAAACCCGAGGAAGTCCAATTTTTTACAAATAACTTTCACAAAATTCACATCATCTAACTTTGGCCAGGCCCGAACCTGGATCTTCTTTGTTACTACTTGGTCTGGGCTCGTGCAGACCTCTAGCAGCTCCAATAGTACAACTACTGTAAACCAGGCTTACTACATTACTTGAGCAACATATCAGCTGTTCCAATAGCTTGACAACTGACCAACATAAAGAAGGTCTGTTACAATACAAGAACAACTTACCAGCTACTCCAACAGCATGACCACTGTAAGGGAAGTATGTTACATTACTAGGACAATTTATCACCTATTCCAATAGCATAAGTGGTGACTGTCCCCAAATAATCTAAATTTAAAAAATAACTTCTAAAAAACAGCAAACCTATAAAAATTCAAGTAAGCACAATTGCCACAAATGCTTCTCTACTTAACTTTAACATAGATGCAAAATACATATATAAACTAAGTAAACAAAATGGGTATTGTTAGTTGCATTTCTTTATTTGTTACAGCATTAAAAAGTCTTGGGTATTCTTGCATTCACTCCAGTACTATTATACAGTTTCTACACGTCTGGCTGCCTGGTAGGGATATGATACCCCTCCCTACACCAGATTCATCACTAACATTTACTTCAACTTTCATACCTTGTATGTACACGTCAACTGATAGTGTATTCTTCTCACACATGAATTTGATGTCATTTGGGTACTGTTTTGTTTATTCCTGTTAAGCCATATTGTACCTACTGTAGTACTGCAATTAGAATTGATTGTTTTGCTATCATCAACGTATTTTGACTGGTGTTTTGTGCATAACTGTCTTCTACATTGGATGAGATGGACTTGTTTATTACAAAATAAGTTCAGCACAATAGCATTTGAACTATAATTGGAAATAAAACAGTGAGGATCACATCATCAGGCAAACTTCTTTTTAATAAATGGTGCAAATATGAACCATAAAAAAGGAACTTTACTTTTCAATGTGAATAGCTCCAAAGAATAAACTGGTTGACTGCTGTGTTCACAAAAAAGTCTTTGATAATATGTAGACAAAATCAGATTTTCAAAATTTATAACCTTTGTCAGAAACAACCTCAAACACACAAATCTCAATTTCTTACATGCAAAACACTATTACATTGCAACTTTTAAGGAAAATAAATATTACTGAACAGATCTACAGTGCATTTCAGAAAGACTGCATCATTAGAATATAAAAAGTAGATAACAATAGTCATAGGTTATTGAAGATCACAACTGTGGTTTTTTAAAAATTATTTGGTGAAAAAAAAAGGGCCAAGTTCAGTCCACATTATGATAACAACTTAGTTTATTTCTTCCTTAACCTATAGGCTATCACTTAGACACAATTGTACCTGTAGGCCTTAGTTTACAAACAATGTTTTCACTTTCAAAAGAGGTTAACTCACTAATGGTACTATGACTAATGTAAAAGTAAATTTACCTGTACAATTTCAAAGCTGATCAATTGTGTAACTGAATATATGTGATAACTAACACTGATCCAAATACTTCATTGAAACTAAATGTTTCACTGAATGACTGGCACTCTTCCAATTGAACAACTGACTCAATGCTTCACTGATTCTCCTATTTATAATGTAGTGTTGTTTCTAGACACTTTGCAGAGTCTCTAGATTACTAATATTCATGAATATTCTAGGTGTTTTAGGACTATTTTTTATAAACCTACTTTATCTGAACAGTGCTCACTACCTATCATTTAAATTAAAACATTTAAAATATAGCTTACAACATTCTTTACATCACAAAGACAATTTAGCAGCTGTTCCAATACCTTGACAGATTTATATTATTACTAGAATAACATACCAGTTGATCCAATAGCTTGACCAGTGTAAAGCAGGTAAGAAGCAACTTTCCTTGGTACAGCTCTAGCTACTGCAATACCAGGGGTAGAACAGAACAACCCAACAAAGGCTCTAAAGAGTAAAGGATTTTATATTTTATGCTATGCACCACTGAAGATATAAAAGTAAATTATAAAAAATAATATATTTAAAATAATTAAATGTTATAGGTAGTGCTTGAAAAACTATTCATAAAACATTTTAATGTACTATACACATTTTTTTCTAATGATAACATTGTTACTAGTGTATTCCTCATTGCACTAACCATAAATTATAAAGACTGTCTATCTCAACATACATCATCAATACTAACTATCTCTTAGCTTTTAGAAATAAAGCACTATGGAGTTTTATTCAATAGAAAAGTGATAAAGCTGTAATCCATGTTAATGATTATAATGCAATAATTAAAACTGTAAGTTATTACGGAACAAGTATTAAAAGCCTTTTAGTTATTATTTGTACAATGATATCAAAGCTGTCAAAGTTATTACAAGTATGACAGTATTAAAATCATCTCTTAGAAGTTATAACAGCATTAACCTTCTTCACATGGGTCATGGGTCAAAGGCCATGTCATTACATTTGTTGACTTGCATACAAAATTTTATTGAACTACCATTTTATGAATTTATAAATTTGGTATCAAACTGTAGATTACAATTCCAATTTTAGCATTATACATCATCTAATTTCTTAATTTAAAAGTAAATATTAAAAAACACAGATAAACATCAGTTTTTGTGTGTCACGTGGTATGTTGAATGCAGCACTGGATCAAATTAGATGTTTGTGAAGTCAAAACACTAAGTCTATAGTTTCATACAAATTAGAAACTCAAATTACAAATATTGACAAGCTAGAATATAAAATAAGAGCCTCTTATCATTTGAATTTGCTAAGATATTGCTCATGTAATAAATTAAACACAGTGGCATCCCACCCACCTCTTTCTATTTTTGGAAACACTCCCTTATGCACACTTATTTCTTTCTATGACATGTGAATAACCAATTGAAAGCACAGAATGTCCTTCTAGTGGCTTTATCAGCCATTTTGAAGTATTATGACATTAACTCGTTCTTTTCATATAAGACTTTAAGCTGGTAAGTTGAGTCTTTAGTCTACTCAAAATTTCATATTTTTTTAGACCCAAATACAGCTTAGTTACTAAGCTTGATAAATTATAGTGGAATTCTATGGTATCAATATAGTAATATATGATTTTTTGATAATTAAAAATACATAAAATCTAAAAAAATTATTTTGTTTCATATAATCCACATGTGAAATTTTATAAGGCTTAGTAACCTACGTCAAGCAGCAAACATGTCCAATGTCATAAATAAAAGAGATATACTTCTTTATTTACTATTCTATGTTTTAAAAAAAATAAGTTTAAGAACTTATTTATAAATAGTATTAATGTATATACACATATAATGTATTATAACTGAAATGTGACTGTATCTTACAAAATAATAGTCCATTAAAACACAGCCAAGATAGGTCACTTTGTAAAGGTCAGTTTCAAATTACTGGATACAGTAACATGAGTGCATGTGCACCACATCATTGTAACTTCTGTATTGTTAGCCATGAATGGCTGAAAGGTCAATATAATAAAAATATATATAAATGTATAATGTTATGACATTTAAGCTAAAACAATTTCAATTTCCAAAAAATCGATACACGCAGCATCAGACTATTACATAAAAAAGATTTTAAAATATACCTCCCCAACATAAACATTAGTAGCAACAACGGATACATATTTTGTTACATACGACCGCCTAACCACGAAAAAATAGCGCTACTACCAGTATGTCTTACCCAA